GTCTGCTCGTGATTATGCTGCTGTAGAATAACCGAAACGTGGGATAGAATGTATAATAAAATGATAAAGTTGCGTAACATATCCAAAAAATGTGCTTTCATTATTAGAAAGGAATTTTGTAAATGTACTTTTGTAAAATTTGGTCCTATTGCTCGGTGAACTATAATCAATAATAAAACATATGAAATATTCTAATTCGTTTTCATTCTTCAGCTTTCTTTTTTACAGATATTGAACCTTAAGTCTCGTTTTATTCAATATAACATATAACAAAAGACCAATGAAACGTTCTGAGATAGTTGTATAAAATTTAAAAAATATATTAACATAAATACGGTTTTAAAATTGAGAAGGTCAAGTAAAAAATTCTTACCAAATTTTTGTACCGTTTAACTGATCTGAAGATCTTTGATGCCTAAAACAATTTGCCTTTGATTTTCAAGCCATCAAAATAAAATCTCAATCAGTGAGTTTTCATCAATAAGATTTTTAAAGAATTTGAGTAAATGAAATATTTAATTAAGATTATTTTAAATAAACATATATAACTACAAGTAAAATTAGAATGTTTGTTTATAATATTAAAATATAAAAAATGGGCGAATGCATATTAATGTATACACGGTACCTTTTATTTTTTGTAGTATTTGAAAAGACTGGAATATTTTTGAGAGGACTTTTAATCGCAGACGTCTGATATATTAAAGAGTGACTTTCTATACATATATTTTATTTATTTCTTTTAGTAAAATAAAAATATCGCAGGATGATATCGCGAGCACAGCTAGCTTTATATAAAGAGTTCATAGTTATTAAATTAATACTAATTACATATATAAACTATATATTCTCATAAACTGTGTTGGTTGAGTTTCAAAAGATTCATACTATATTTGTTAAAAGAGGACATACATAATTATAAGTACGTATGTTTAAGTACATCAGACATTTCAAACATCTGTTAACCGTCTTTGTCTCTAAATCATATATCACGTAAAATATAACTAAATTTATAATTTTGTTACGAGATCATTGCTTTCGATTTCACTACTTAAACTTAAGGAAAAGTAGGGGTTTTCTGGTATAACAAATTATGATTAGTTCGCACAATATAATTAGATAGTTTTATAATGTATCCATATAATTTTTTAGTTTCACTTCGAGTTGTAAGTAAATCATTTATAAGATATGCATCATATTGGAATTCCAGAGCCCTGTGAATACATAAAAAATACGTATTACTATTAATAAGTTTACTTATGTCACTACAAATCAATATTAACAAACTAACTACTGCTGCACCCTTTATATTTTAAAGCTGTTGCTTATCATAAAAATATTTAAGATTCCAATGGGAATAAAGCCATAGCATAATCAAAATATTTAAATGGTTCAATAACAAGTCTGAGTGATCTCATTACTGAGATTAAGTTAATTTTACATGTTTTAATATAACTAGAAATAGGCTCAGTTTTAGAATTAATTAGCTCGAGCTTTACGTCATTAGTCTTAAGCGTATATTCAGTCTTAAATTCATAACTGTTTGATTTGAGCAAACTAACAATTGAATACTATTTAATGAAATGCTCCAAAGTGTAAAAAAAATATGCTTAAAATATAATTTATTGTACATACATATAAGCTATTTTAAAAAGGGTTAATATTACAACCACATTTTTAAGTTCCTTAATCCTACATGACACGAGGTTCTTGTGGTGCAATTCATTTTCAATTTATCGTTCCAAGCTCAATATATAAAATTTATGATTAGAGATCAAGTTAACCTTGTTTTTATAGACGAAGAAGATATTTGAATATGTGTACAGCCAAATGATACGCAAAATATGATCTAAAGTAATTTAAGTTATAAAACAACATTCTTTCAAATCGGTAAGACAAAATCTCAGCCTGACTATTTAATGTGTTGTTTAATATAAATAATGTTTTTATAAGTAGGTTGAAACTCAAATATCAATTTGACTAGATTAAATTTTATAACAATGAATACTAATTAGAAAATAAATAATGCATGTGAAATATATAATGATAATATTAAAAATATAAGATGCAAGAAATATTAAAATATTATTCCACTTTACCCGCACAGGGACATTGAAAACATTTCTCAACTCATTTACAAAGTCCGTCCATTTATTTTTCGGTGCCAAGAGACAAAATATAAGCTTACAATGTTTTAGAAAATAAAAATGTAATTTTAGTCCCATTTACAGTGAATTCAGTGTTTGTTGATGGCGAATAAAGTTGAGCCGAAAATTGTGTTAATTATTCCTCGAGGCTTTGTAATGTTTGAAACTTGATCTCATGTTACACTTAATGAAAACAATAATGTTTAGCACTAAATATCTTTTTTTTTTTCTTTTTTTGGAACAAAGAATAAAAATACTATTATCATTGGTAGTATTGTTGCATAACCTATAGACTTTTTGCTGTCTTTAATAAGAACTTAAATCGACTGACTTTGGAAGTGATAAGGTAAAATAACAAAGAGCTATTGTATATAATATTTTGAATCTCTTTTTCCAATATTAAACTATTTCTCTACTTATCTTCTTTTAATTTGTTTTTCAGAACTGTAAAATTGTAGAATCAGAACATATACCAAATCTTTATTTAATGCTACTTTTGAGAAAACAAAAATTATTGAAATGAATCAATAAGATATTGATATAAATGTTTCTATTTTATTTATTCAAATGTTTCGAATAAAATGGAAAATAAAACGTAATAAACCTATGCCACCATCTTGATCACTTACTTAAAATTGAATCTATTTTAGGAGTGTACAGAAAGTTTAGGGGACAATTCAATAAATTAGAACGGCCGAACAACTAAAATTTATTCCTTTGTACATATTACGAGTATATAGGAAGATGGCAATTATTTGTCTGTTACGCCTTGTTTATTGTTACATTTCCCACAATATTTAAGGAATCTGGCTTAAAATTATGCAAAAGTAGGATATAACTGATAAGTTTAAAAAAACTTTGTTCAGGGAGTCTTAAAAGTTTCTCGAGGACAAAAGATTTTTTTTGCTGTTTGAAAATTTATTTAAAAGCAATCTTTTTTTATGCGAAAGGAGGCACCTAGGCAGACAGCTTACCTAATGGATGTAGTACCGTCGCCCATGGACATTCGCAATGAAGATTTACGGATGTTTTGCCACCCTGGATTGGAAGAGGAGGAATAAAGGTGGGAAAGGGAGGGAAAAGGGAAAGGGCATCCGGCTCTCTCACTCATCGGATTAAACGCAGCCATTAATGACTACTTCACGCCGATCTTCTGTGAGAGGGTAGTACTTCTCCGGTCAAGCCATCCCATGTTCGAGCTGCAGTAACTTGACCACAGCTAGGCTCTACCACTTCAATATCTACAGGCATTCCCTAAAACAAATTGTAAGTATCTCATATGTACATCTGAATAACAAAGAAGTATAATCTTAAGAATAAATTCGAAGGGATAATTCTTTTGAAAGAAAACCTAAGTTTAAAACGTGAAAATGAGGTCTAATAATAAACAATTTCACAATACAGAAATAATTATAAACACCAAACATAAAGGGCATAGGACGACTTTTATGTATATGCAGGAATGCAAGATAAAAATGGATAGATGGATGGGCCATAATTCAAGGCATGAAGTTCTTTTAAACTGAATAATTGTTGAAATCGGATATAATTAGTCCAAGGACCAAATTACAACACCAGAATAATAATTAATTCGTTTTCACAAATTAATTATCCAAAGAGTCAAGGTTAACAGGCTACGTACAACTAGTGCACCGCGCCACGTCAGAGCCAAGACTCCTGTAGAATAATCGCGCACGTCTTTTATACAGCTAGTAGTGGGGAGAGTGGGGCATCGAATCACGCGCTCGGTGGCGTGATCGGTGCACGTGTTGGTTATAGTTATGTTTGGTTGGCGCGCTAGTGCCGACACGGCCATGCTGACATGCGTGCGCCCTCGCACGCGCCTCAAATATCGTTCGACTATCCTGACAATATTATAGTGTCTGGTTCGGTCCACACTGACCCTTCAGAGTTATGGTAGTTAGTTCTGATCCGTCCTGAGGTCCTGCAAAAGATTTCATTAGTAATTTCTCTAGAGAGCTTAGGCCGGAATAATTATTCCCTGTAACCTTTTCTAGACCGGAATTAAAATTCCCTGTAACCTTTGCTAGACCGGAACTAGTATTCCCTATAGCCTTAGACCGGAACTAGTATTCCCTATAGCTTTTGCTAGACCGGAATTACTATTCCCTATAGCCTTCATGCTGGACCGGAATTATGATTCCCTACAGCCACACGGTTGGACCGGCGTAAGCCCTTCAACTCTCTGCCTTTTTTTTTACACTTTCTTTTTTTTTACTTTCCTTTTTTACTCATTTTTTTAAACTTTCTTTTTTAAATCTTTTTTTTTACTCTCTTTTTTCTTAAACTTTCTTTTTTACTTTTTTTTTTAACCTTCCTTTTTTTGCTTTTTTTTTACTTTTCTTCTCTTTTTTTTGTTTGACTTTTTTTTTAACTTTCTTTTTATTTTTTTTTCCTTTTTTTACTCTTTTTTTTAACTTTTTTTTCTTTACTCTTTTTTTTTGGGTCTTGACGCTCTTTTTTTTATTAGAAAATCAGTGAACGATGACCCGGACATAGACTCTAATGAGCTAGACCGTTCACCTTCACAAGCTTATCAAAGTTTAGTCCGGACGTGGACTCTGGAAGCCATTGACAGGCAAATAATTGATGCCCTCTGCCCCATCTGGGGGACATAGGATTGAAAAGAGAAAGTAGAGGTGGATTAATAGGATGCTGGTTTAAACTATCTGTTAATTTTAATAAAATTGCTTCCATTCCAAAAAAAAAACTTTTTTTTTTCTTTTCAATGCAGTTGGTTTGATAACACTCACGGAAGGTGACCAACTGATCGTAAATGTTAAGCAATACATTGAAAACATATTACAACAAGACGATATCACAGCAGAAACAATGTCTAACCGTTTCCAAGACCACTGTCTGAGTAAGGCTTTCGAATTATTGGGAGTCACCAGAGGACCGCTTACAAACAACAAAAAAGCTAAATGGTGGCAGCCAAACGTGGAAGAAAAAGTGAGAAATAAGAAAAACCGTTTTAAGATCTGGCAAAAAAGCGGCAGCGATGATGATCGCGAAATCTATCGCAGAGTAAAAAAAAGAGGCGAAAAGGAAGGTTGCTCGTGCTATGGCGACCTGTGACGAAGACTTTTATAACAAATTGGAAAATGCCAAAGATGATAGAGAACTATTTCGACTTGCAAGATATAGATACGCGAACAGCTTGGATATACGAACAACAAAATATATCAAAAACAAAGATGGTCACTTGCTCACTTCTAACTCCGACATAAAGGCGAGATGGTGGGAGCACTATTCCCATCTTCTCAACGAGAGCTCCCAATTTAAGGTACCAACCGTAGAAAATGCCGTAGAAGGACCTATTCAGGAAATTTCCACCGAAGAAGTCAGAAATGCCGTTAAAATGATGGCAAATAACAAGGCGAATGGTCCTGATGAGATTCCCGTGGAGCTATGGAAAAATTTAGGGGAAGTCGGCGTCCAGTACCTAAAAACGCTTTTCAATAGAATCTTATGTGATGGAATACCTAGTGAATGGAGAAAAAGCTACCTAATTCCATTCTATAAAAACAAGGGTGACGTCAGACTCTGTGACAACTATCGCGCCATAAAACTTATACCACATACTTTTAAGATATGGGAAAGGGTCATAAACAACAGACTGGTGAAACTTACTAAGGTAACTGAAAATCAATGTGGCTTCGTAGAAGGAAGATCTACAACAGACGCTCTACATACTCTAAGGATTCTATTGGAAAAGTATAAAATATTAAAAAAGGACCTACATCTCGCTTTTATAGACTTAGAGAAGGCATTCGATCGAGTACCACGAGAACTAATATGGCAATCGCTTCGATCGCAAAATGTCCCGGAATACTATGTTAAAGCGGTTATAGATATGTACAACAAAGTTACAACAAAAGTACGAACCCCAGCAGGTCTAAGCGATGAATTTCACGTAGAAGTAGGTGTGCACCAGGGCTCAGCTTTGAGTCCTTTACTTTTTAATCTCGTGCTAAATTACCTCACAGCAGATATACAAAAACATCCACCCTGGGACCTCCTCTACGTGGATGATATCGTCCTCATTAGACATAGCCGCGAAGACCTAGAAGCATCTTTGGAAACCTTCAGATCCACCCTGGAGAACGCCGGTTTAAAGATCCTCCGCCAAAAAACTGAATACATGCGTTGCTACTTTTCAGGTTCCAATCAATGTCAACCGGTTGAGCTTCAAGGCTACCATCTGAAGGAAGTAGCAAATTGTAAGTATCTGGGCTCTGTAATCACAAATGATGGTACGATCGACGCTGATATAAACCACCGAATTAAGACAGGATGGATGAAGTGGCGGGAACTATCAGGTGTCTTATGCGATAGAAGAATGCCGATAAGAGTTAAAGGAAAGGCATACAAAACCGCGGTTCGCCGCGCCCTTATCCACGGTGCTGAATGCTGGCCTGTGAAGAAGACTCATACCATGAAAATGCACACGACGGAAATGAGAATGCTGAGATGGGCAGGAGGAGTCACTATTACGGATAAAGTGAAAAACAAATATATCCGTGTGAGTTTCAAGATCCGCCCAATCGAAGAAAAGCTCTTAGAAGCGCGTTTGAGATGGTATGGCCACGTAATGAGAAGACCTGAAGACAACATGACAAGACAAGTCCTGAGCTTAGATACCGGACCTAAGAAACGAGGGAGACCCTTTTTAACTTGGATGTCGGTTATAAACAAGGACCTAAAGGAAGCCCAACTTGATGTCTCGACCATACAAGACCAACCTGGAGAAGAATGACGAGGAGAGCCGACCCCAATTGAAATGGGAAGAGGCTAGGCAGAGAGAGAGAGAGAGAGAGAGAGAGAGAGAGAGAGAGAGAGAGAGAGAGAGAGAGAGAGAGAGAGAGAGAGCAGTTGGTTTGATTATGAGATGGAGGTGGATCGCTATCCCACTTCTGATGTAGGAATGCAAGATAAAAATGGATAGATGGATGGGCCATAATTCAAGGCATGAAGTTCTTTTAAACTGAATAATTGTTGAAATCGGATATAATTAGTCCAAGGACCAAATTACAACACCAGAATAATAATTAATTCGTTTTCACAAATTAATTATCCAAAGAGTCAAGGTTAACAGGCTACGTACAACTAGTGCACCGCGCCACGTCAGAGCCAAGACTCCTGTAGAATAATCGCGCACGTCTTTTATACAGCTAGTAGTGGGGAGAGTGGGGCATCGAATCACGCGCTCGGTGGCGTGATCGGTGCACGTGTTGGTTATAGTTATGTTTGGTTGGCGCGCTAGTGCCGACATATACTAAATAAGAAAAAATATACATATTATTAATGGGATTATGAGATATGTAAAGCTAAGTTTTTCGGATACTCTACTCTTTAATCTTGCCTGTCCATTGTCAAAGTTGCTGTAAAGTTATTTAAACGTCAGAAATATGTTAAATAAATTATGTACAACAGCATGTGTAGTACTTGAGAAAAAAGTAGTTTTATTTTAAATATGTTATAACGAAAATATTAGTTTTTATAAGAATTAGTTATGGTTTAAAACTTTTGAGGTTAGTGAAGTCTATCTACTTTTTATCGTCATACGCATTAAGGAAATGTCTGTTAAATAATAAAGTATAATTAAATTTCAATACCGTACCAATTACAAGTTATCACTTTTAGCTGATGTTTCTTAGTAAACACTAAAGTAGATTTTCGGCAACTTGGAATATTCTTTAAAGTAAGTTATATCTAAAATTTGTATTTGTACACTCAGTGAGTTCTCGAGTGGCGACCACGAACCAGAAGACGCAGTGTGAGCCCCCAACAAGGTGGACCGACGATCTGGTGAAGGTCGCGGGAATACGCTGGATGCGGGTGGGGCACAAGACCGGTCGTCGTGGACATCCTTGGGGGAAGCCTATGTCCTACAGTGGATGTCTTTTGGCTGAATTAATCAATGAATGAATCAGTGAGTATAAGAATATTGTGTCTAGATAATTGTTTTTTTTTCACATCTCTTAACTAGTAAAATCATCTAATAATACTCTAATGTGTTCTGAAACAAATTGATAAAATTGCCCTTTCATTTAGTACAAATTTCTAAATAGACGAATAAATTTGTCAGAAAATAGTAAAAAAAAATCATATTATTTTATTATATTTATATGTTACCTTGGACTACGGGCTTGTTATAATAGAAGATAAATAAACAGTTAAGTTCTTTGTAAATCTTCCAAATTTATTTTTTAATTAAATCAATAAAAATAAAACAATAAAAACATATATATATATATATATATATATATATATATATATATATATATATATATATATATATATATATTAAATCATATAGAGAATGCATCTGTAATACTTATCTTGAATCAATGAATCTTCCTATAGGATACTTTACGCGTACTCGAAAATATACGAAATATTTATTTCAATTAATTCCAATAATATTTTTTGCAATCAAACAGTTATTCCTTTGTTTTTCATTGTGAATTATCGCTATTTTTGGCTCAATGTCTGCTATATACATATAAAATAAATTGTATCATATTATTAATAGAGTGTGCCAAATAATATTTAATCTGGTTTAATTTAAGATATTTCTATTAGATCAAGTTTTTTTTACATAGAAAACAATGTGAGTAGCTACTATTACATATAAGGAAATGAAAAAATAATCAAATATAACCCGATCACTTTTAATTTTAATAAACTTATCTTTAATTAAAAAAAAGTATTCGAATAATAGTTTTTTACTTGAAAATTGCACGGATATATGTGAAAATATACAAGATATAAAAGTTAGAAAATGCTATTTTGCTAAAAACCATTTACCCATTATTCAAACGATGTTTTTCAGATCTCGTAAGTAATCTCGAGACTACATAATGAAGAATGTTGGTCGGGAAATATAAAGAAATAAATGCTTGGAATTGGAAAAAAAATCCAAAAGCAAATTTAACGGTAAGCAATGCGATAAATAATTACCATTTATATGAAAATAAAATAAAGTCTTGCCAATGATAAAAACAAGAAACTGAGAAATAATTAATACAATTTTGTGTTGAGCCAACAAACACTCAGTTCAAAGTAAGTAAATGGGACTCAAATAACTTTTTTATTTTCCGAACAATAGTAACATTACATGTTCTCTGTTGGCAAAAATAAATTGAGAGGCTTTGTAAATGAGTTGTGAAATGTTTCCAAGTATATGTACCTACGAATAAATAATAACATAATTTCCCTGCAACAAAATTCTAGTTTTGAAATTTTATTTAGGTTAATATAGAAACTCAATAAAAAATATTCTATACCTCAGATTATAAACATATATTTTATGGTTTTGAATGAGAATAATAGCGTGAATAACGAATTAAACAGAATTATTTCTGCTCTGTTAATTTTTAATACTTTTCTACATTCAAATTTCATTCTATAAGCACAACCGTGCCCAGAAAAATATGTAGTTGCGTTATTAAAAGGACATAATAAAAACTTTAAGAAAATTTTAAAACATACAAATTAAGTATTTTCACGTACTTACTCTGAATGGTGTACTTATGAAACAATATCCATTGCATAATGTTTAAACATTCTGCCAGGAAATAAATCCTAACTACTATAGAGAAGTTGAAGTAATATATTTTGCCTCACATACATATATGTTGTTTAAAAAACTAGCTTCTTTTTTAAAAAAATGCAGACGACAAGGGAACTAGTTAATGTAAGAATTTCTCAAAGAAATCGTGAGACATAAAACAAAATGTCATGACATAGAAAAGATTATATAATAAAAAAAAATATTTATGTATATACATATAAACGTGTTTATGTGAATGAAAATATAAAAATATTATCATAGTCATCAAACTATCTCTTTATAACAAAGAAACAATGTTTAAAGGAATTCCAACGACCCCGGAGAAGGATTAAAAGAAACTGTATAAGGTAAAACACAGTTCTTTGAAAGGGTCTTGTCTTTAAATCAGTGAAGTACCTTCTTTCACGGGCCAAAGCAATGAATTCCGAAGTTTGACAAATTTTTCCACCGTGAAGGAATTTGTATTGTAGCGGGAAAAGTGTGCTGAGAAATTTAAATA